ATCAATTCAGTCCAGTTTTCTTGTCAGTCAAGTTAAACCCCGAGTAATACCGGTTAAATGTTTAGATCAAGTCGAGCATCTTAACAACTATTTTCAGTCAGTCTGAGCATAGTACTTAGTATTTGTTTATTTATATATATTTCCAGATTGATCAGCCGCAGCACTTACACTGTCAGATTAGCAGTTCAGGTAGGGACTCAGACTGGGTATTACATTGATTATAATTACTCTACCATGTTTAAGGTATGCATATGAGTTATCCACTTGGGTGGAGGCGCAGTAGCCTTAATTGCCCATCCAGAGTTCTGGTGGAGGCACAGTAGCCTTAACTGCCCATCAGAGTGTGCACATGGTACGGACATAGTGTCCGAGAAAATTCAGTTCAGATACCGACCCAGTGTCGGGAGATTACAATTTACTTATATATACCTACAGTCATGATATTGATATTATCATTAATGTTTACTTTAGTATGAGTTTCTGCGGAGCACAGTGGCTTTAGTGCTCACGCTCCCACTATATTATCTTTTTCAGGTGACAGGGTCGGACCGGAGGAGTCAGCGGAGCAGGTGGTCGATGATCCAGTATATATATAGCTTTTGCAGACTTATGATATGTATATTATTTACCACGTTTTTACTTCCGCTGACATTTTCAGATTTCCAAACTCGCATGTTGGTTTTCAGTTTTTGATCCGAACTTTCTGGTCGGATTTATACAGTATTACATGCCAGTTTGATATAAGATAATCTGTTTTTATAAATAGTTTTTAATTAGTCAAGTTAACAGATTTTTAGAAAGTGAAATGTTTCTCATTAGCATCCCGAATCACGGTTTCGCAAGTTAATAAGTATTTTTCAGGTAAGATTTTGCGAAAATTGTACTCTGATTTTAATAAGCTAGCTAGGTGTTACAAATGGTATGAGAGCACGTTTTTGTGTATCTGAATACATTATTAAGTCAAGAAATTTTCAGAAAAAACGACAATGCCACGCTCACGCCTCGCCGACTACCAGGTAAGTGCTGAGTTACAGTTTATATATATATATCTCTAAACGAATGGTTAAGTCTATGCTCAGTAGAGGGTACCAGATATTTAATCCTAGAAACCAATAAGATGCTCGAGTTAGTGATCAAGTATTTTCAGAACACAGTCGATTGTCTCAAGTTATCTGATAATTTGACTTTAGTTTTCTCGGGTTAATTTTAGCAACTCGTCAAGAGATCTGTGCGCATTAATATTCAGTAAAAGTAGTTCATCATATTATATTCCTTGCATCTGATTATGTTGATCTTTTTCAATATTGAGTTGCCTCCTCGTAGAGATCCAGACCACCAGGAGCTCCCACAGGCCACAGTGGTCGCGCATTTCTGCGACTACCATCCAGAAAAGTTCTCCGGCTAGGGAGATCTTCGCATTGTGGACGAATGGGTCCAGGGCCTTGAGATGATTTTCGAGGTCATGGACTGTCCTGATCGTTATCAAGTGTTATGCGCACAAATCCAGCTGACCGGTGATGCCCGACTCTGGTGGAATACCTATTGGAGTATGCGTCCGGGCGAAAAAGAAGGTTGTACGTGGGACCAATTCAAGGAGTTGATCCGCGGGAAGTACTATCCCTCGTACTACCGAGCAGATATAAAGCACCAGTTCTTGGCACTCACACAGGGTACTCGTTCTGTTGACGAGTACGAAAGAGAGTTTACCCGACTCGGAGCCTTTGTACCCGACCTTGTGAGTACGGAGGCGAAGAGAGCCCTTTGTTTTACTGACGGACTTCTCCCAGCAGTCCGTCACAACATCGTAGGTCATGGCGTCCAGACCTACGCCCGCACAATTGCCATTGCTCAAGAAATAGATGCCAGCATCCGACGAGAAGCTAATCCGACTTCAGCCCAGCCAGTTGCTCAACCACTTGCCCAGCCTAACGTCACCCAACCATCAAAGAACCAGAAGAAGAGGAAGCTCAGAGGGGGACCAGACGACCGGAGGACTCGCCCCAGACAAATACCAGCCTGCCCGACATGTGGAAAACGCCACCGTGGAGAATGCCTTGTGGGCCAGAACATTTGTTTCTGTTGTCGCCAGCCCGGCCATATTAGCCCCAACTGCCCAGAACGACTGCAACAAACACAACATCGACAGCCACCTCAGCAACCTCAACAACACCAGCCTAGGCAACAGCCACCACAACCCCAGCAACAACCACGTGGCAGACAGCAGGCCCGTGTCTTTGCAGTTGACCAGAGGGAGGCCGATCAGCACCCAGGTACAATGTCTGGGATGATTATTCTTAATGATGTAATTGTTTATGCCTTATTTGACACCGGAGCGACCCATTCCTTTATATCACGCCGATGTCTCAAAGCTATTAGAGTTCATTCTCTTATCACTGTCGATCCTCTCGAGGTGAGTTTAGCGTCAGGACGAAAGATAGTGACTGACGCTAGAGCCACCGATCTCAGCCTTCTCATCGACGGCCGTATTTTGACTACTGATGCTTATGTTATCGAGATAAGGGATTTTGACCTCATACTCGGTATGGATTGGCTAACACATTTTCACGCAGATATCCAATGCCATGACCGGGAGATTACTCTTTATCATCCGGGAGATGATCAGATCACTTATTACGGCTACAGGACTCGTACTCTACCCCATATTATTTCTATGGCGAAAGCCAGGAGGATTCTTCGATGGGGTGATTGCCAGGGTTACCTTGTGAGCCTCGTCGAAGATGAGCCAAGAGCACTTTCACCTCATGACATTCCTATTGTTCGTGAGTTCGTGGACGTGTTCCCAGACCAGCTTCCGGGTGGTCCACCTAGCCGACAGGTGGAATTTTCTATCGATCTTATCCTTGGAGCCAGACCCGTTTCTAAGGTGCCGTATAGAATGGCACCTAAAGAATTACAGGAATTAAAGACCCAAATTCAATAGTTGCCGAATCTCGGTTTTATTCGACTGAGCGTCTCACCTTGGGGAGCACCCGTTCTCTTTGTCAAGAAGAAGGACAGATCCATGCGTATGTGTATCGACTACCGCGATATGAATCGGTTGACGATCAAGAATAAATATCCACTCCCCAGGATCGATGATTTATTTGATCAGTTGAGGGGTGCCTGCGTATTTTCCAAAATTGATTTGCGTTCAGGCTACCATCAGCTGAAAATGAAGGAATCAGACATACCTAAGACAGCGTTTCGTACAAGATACAGTCACTTCGAGTTCGTGGTTATGCCGTTTGGCCTCAGCAATGCCCCGGCAGTATTCATGGACTTGATGAACCGTGTGTTTTATCCTTTCCTTGATCAGTTCGTTATTGTATTCATTGACGACATCCTTATCTATTCTAAAAGCCAGAAGGAGCATGAAGAGCACCTGAGGGTCGTTTTTGAGACACTTAGATGTGAAAAGTTATATGCGAAGTTCTCTAAGTGCGAATTTTGGCTTCAGCGAGTGGCTTTTCTTGGCCACATTATTACTCAAGCAGGTATTGAAGTAGATCCTTCCAAAATTGCCGCAGTCCAGAACTGGTCAGCACCGAAGAATCCGTCCGAGGTTCGAAGTTTCCTCGGCCTTGCAGGTTATTATCGCAGACTTATTGAGGGGTTCTTGAAGATTGCCCTCCCTTTGTCCCAGTTGACGAGGAATTCTGTGACGTTTGAGTGGACAGACCGTTGTGAGTCGAGTTTTCAGGAGCTAAAAAGGAGGCTTACGACGGCACCGGTGTTGACTATTCCAGATCCTTCTCAGAGTTTCACCATTTATAGTGATGCTTCGAAGCAGGGTTTGGGGTGTGTACTTATGCAGGATGACCAGGTTGTAGCATATGCTTCACGTCAGTTGAAGCCTCATGAGCAGAACTATCCTACCCACGACCTGGAGTTAGCTGCAGTGGTACATGCACTCAAGATATGGCGGTATTATCTTTATGGTGGTCGATGCGAGATTTACACCGATCACAAGAGTCTGCAGTATATTTTCACGCAAAAAGAGCTTAACATGCGTCAGCGACGTTGGTTAGAGCTTGTTAAAGATTATGACTGCACGATTCAGTATCATCCGGGGAAAGAAAATGTTGTAGCTGATGCCCTGAGCCGAAAGGTAAAGGGCGAATTATCTTGTTCTATTACTCAGCAACGTCATCTTGTCCGAGACTTTGCCCGGATGCAAATTCAAGTCATCGAGTCGCTTCCTGCAGTGATTACAGGGAGTGTTAGCTCGATGCGAATTCAGCCCACGTTGAGGGACAGAATCCGGCAGGAGCAGGCTCACGATCAGTTTATTCGTGCTATTGAGGTCAAGCTTCATGTCGAAGGAGTCGAAGGTTTTTCCTGAGGCGCAGATGGCGCTTTGGAGTTTCGAGGCAGGATCGTAGTGCCAAAGGTCGAGGCTTTGCAGAAGGAGATCTTGACAGAGGCTCACACCGTGCCTTATTTAGCTCACCCCGGCAGCACCAAGATGTATCATTACCTGAAAGGGTCTTTCTGGTGGAGGGGAATGAAGAAAGATATTGCCAATTTTGTAAAGAAATGTTTGGTCTGTCAGCAAGTTAAGGCCGAACATAAGAGTCCCTTTGGCCTTCTACGACCACTCGATATTCCAAAGTGGAAGTGGGAGGAGATTGCTATGGATTTCGTTACAGGGCTGCCCAAGTCGTCCGAACGCCACGACGCAATTTGGGTAGTAGTGGACAGATTAAGGAATGTTGCTCATTTCCT